AAAGAAAAAATTGAGGACAAAAATAAAAAAGATAAAAAAAAGATTAAAATGAAAGAATAAATAAATTTTAAGACATTACTAAAAAGAAATATCTAAGTATGCTAACATATGTAAGAAAAACTAATTTAGGTAAATGAAAAAAAAATAAAAAGAAGGCCAACAGCGAAAAGATATAAATTCTGGAGAAAAAACAAAAGAAAAAGAGAAAATGCAAAGAAAAAAAAAAGCATCAAAAGCAAAAAAAAAAAAAAAAAAAAGACAGTGAAAACACTGTTAATTTAACTGTGTTTTAAAGTTTGAAAAATTGTTCATTTAAACGGTATTTTAACTTAAATATATATATATGTATATATATATGTATAGATACATATATGTATATGTATATATTTTTTCAGAAAATGTCCCTTTTCACATATATATTTTCAGAAAATGTATATATATTTTCAGATAAAAAATAACTAAAATGAAGAAATAAATAAGTTTTTTTTAAGGGAAAAATAAATAAGTTTTAAGATAAAAAGAACTAAAACAAAAAAAAATAAAGTTTCAGTGAAAAATAAAAAGAACTAAAATGAAAAAATAAGTATATTTGAGGGCAAAAGGAACCAAAATGAAAGAAAAAATTGAGGTCAAAAATAAAAAAGATAAAAAAAAAGAGACTAAAATGAAGGAATAAATAAATTTTAAGACATTACTAAAAAGAAATATCTAAGTATGCTGACATATGTAAGAAAAATAATTTAGGTAAATGAAAAAAAAATAAAAAGAAGGCCAACAGCGAAAAGATATAAATTTCTGGAGAAAAAACAAAAGAAAAAGAGAAAATGAAAAGAAAAAAAAGCATCAAAAGCAAAAAAAACAAAAAAAACAAAAAAAAAAAAGACAGTGAAAACAGTGTTAATTTAACAGTGTTTTCAAGTTTGAAAAATTGTTCATTTAAACGGTATTTTTAACTTATATACATGTATAGATACATATATGTATATGTATATATATTTTCAGAAAATGTCCCTTTTTCCATTGGCACTTTGGGTCTGTTATTTTGGAATGTGACTTGAGTGTAATTTTTGAGTTAAATTTAGAGCCCGTTTAATTCGCTGATTCGAGTTTTTAATTCGAGTTGAGATGTGATTTTATGTAAGAGCTTTTTACTGTAGCAAAAAAGTTAAATTTGATTGTTTGTGAGAGCTTTTTACTGTAGCAAAACTCGAATTCTAAACTCGAATCAGGAAAATGAATAATTTGAGTCGAAGTTGTAACTTGAGTTTGTGTTTAGTTGTGTACATTTGGGTTGTAGTTTGAGATAAGAATCTTTTTGAGTTTGTGTTTAAGTGAGTCAAAACTTGAATTTGTATTTAGATAGTATTTTAATAAAAACTCAATGGTGATGAAAAATTTTAATAGGGTATATGGGTGAGGTTTTATTCGTCTTTTCGTTGTCAACGCATAGAAAAAAATCATCTCAATCAGGATTAAAACGAAAAAATTCTAGCATTTTTAAGAATAGAAAAAATACTATTTATTAATTTGAGTTCGAGTTTCTGAACTCGAGTTGAAGGGAAAACTTGAACTCGAATTTTAGTCCCAAACTCAAGTTCAAACTCGAATTCAAACTTAAAAGAACATGAATTTAAATAAAGTTTTAATTGAAGTTGCTTTTTTTTTTTATTTTTTTATTTTTGAGGCTGCTGCCTTCCCTTTCCAGTTTTTTTTTTTGAATGGTTCTAATTTCTTTTTTCTGTTTGGATAATTGACACAGATGATAGTGGTGACAATTTAATTCTTTTTTTAATTTTAATAAAACGCTCTCTCAACTCTCAAAACATTAATAATTAAGTCCTTTTCGTTAGATTCCATCAACTTTTTAAATAGATCACGTGACTCATCGCGTGACATTATTTTTAGTAAAATTACCTTATTGACCCTCAAAAAGCTAAAATCTTCATGAAAAAGGGAAAAAAAAAAAAAATCAGAGGCACGCATACTCAGATTGCGTTCACTTATGGACTAAAACTCGAGTAAGCCCAACTCGAATTGGATTTTGGGCTGAAATAAGCGTTTGGGGCAAACTCAAATTTGAAATTTGAGTACTAATTTGAGCAGGTGAATATCACCCCCTCGAATTCTAAGTACTCGAATGCCTTTTTCTGAGATTTTTCTTTCCGTTAGTCTTCTTTTCTATCCGTTGGTTTGCTTCCTCTCTCACGAGAAAGCTTCCACTATGCGAAAAGCCTTCACGATCGTTCTTGGGTTGTTCCTGGCAGCAGTCCAAAAAGTTAAGCTTGTTTTGTTAGTTTATTTTCCCATGATAGGAAAAAGAAAGAACTCTTCCCTAACCTTGTCCATCTAATCAAATCTAATTTCTGAAGAAATTACTTAATTGTTTTTCTCAACCAATCAAATATTCAGACCCATCGTGATTAATCATTCAAGAACATAAATAAACATTGACTGAGCACTATCCAACATTAACTACAAATCACTCAAAAATGGATAAAATCCGTCAAATGCATGAATTTCAAAGCTTTCTCAACTTGATTTTTTTTTCAATTTTCCTTACATTCTCGACTGCCAACGAAGAAGAAGAAGAAGAAGAAAAGTCAAAACAATTTTCCTTAACATTCTCGACTGCCAACAATGGAGGTTTTCATCGACAACGGATAAGAGAACTCAGATCTGGATGATCGTTGAAGGTGGGTCGCGAATACCGTCAATGTTGCTACGTTTCAGATTCCTTTTTTTTTTCATATTTGTTTCGTCAAAGTGCATGGAAAATGAAGCTTTTTATTTGGTTGAGTGAAGGAGGAGATGAGGTTAGATTCCATGGTTGAATTCATAATTTGAAGAAAAAGTTCAAGAACCGTAACCCTTTTTCACGTTTGTTTTTTTTTTTTTGAAGAATTTCAGCCTCTTGTAATCGAGTCACGCAAAGGTCACGCCTAAACGAAAAAGACTTAATTGTATTAATTTAATAATGTTGAGGATCATTTTTTAAATTAAAAAATTAATAACTAAACCATATAAATTACTCTTTTCATTTTGTTTGAAAAACAAGAACGCCGTTGCCGGGGATCAAACCAGGGTCACGCGTGACAGGAGGGAATACTCAACACTATACTACAACGACTTGGTTGTTTATTCATGCTACTCTATTGTATTAGGTAAGAAAAATTTTCCTGGGGACTTCCCCACTTTCTTGCCAAATGACATTTTTGCCAGCAATTTCTCTATGTTCCATAATTCCATTCATTCTTTTATTTTGAAGAGGAAAAGAAAAATCAGCCCCCCAAAAAAAAAGAGGAAGAGAAATGAGGGACCTAATAGGAATAATTTAATTGGCATGCAATATGCTCATGTATAGAGATGTCAATCGTGCCGACCCGACTAATTTAAATTGGGTCCAAACGTACCTCGTGCCATGTCTCGGCTGACCCATTTATTTATCGTGTCATGTTGGGCCTGGCCCATTTAATTTTTATGACGTCAAGCCCGGCTCACAACCCATTTATATATGGGTCATGCCCTTTACATACTTTAGCATATTTAAAACAAATACAAGGAAATAACCTTTTTAACATAATGAAAACATTAAAGTCTTAACAAAAGAAAGCATATCATTAATTAAAAAAATTACCTCATTAAAAATTTTACCAAGCAAAACCCACTAGGATAAAATCTTAAAAAAGAAAACTTCTTAATTAAAAAATAGTTTTATGACATGTAAAATATATTAATAAAATTAGTTTTATACTTTATCTTCATTAATTGGGCCTTTATCGTGCTTTTAACGTGCCCGTACCCGTGTTTGTGCCGTGCTTTTAGCGTGTCGTGCTCTTAACATGCTTCATGTCTAAAAGTTGCATCAAACTCAACCCATTTAATAAACGAGACGGGCAAAGCCCATTTAATAATCATATCGTATCGTGCCGTGCATAGTTTTTAACGTGCCGTGCTCATGTCGGCCCGTCAGACCCGGTCTATTTTAACATCTCTACTCATGTAACAGCGAGAGTACATAAACCAAATGATCTTAGTTTGTCAGATTTTCCTTCCAAATTCCAATTAATCTTCATCTTAATCCTCAAGTTCTAGGGGTATTTAAAAAGAAGAAGGTAGGGTATTACTACGGATAGTGCATGTTTGTAAAAGTTAAATCAAGTCAAAGTCTTCTTTATCTAGTTTCGATGGCACAATACATAATCCTATTTGTAAGATAATTTTACACCCCATATTATAAAATTCTAGTTAAAAGGAAGGGGAAAATTTTTTTTGATACTCGAGTTTAAGTACCTTTAATTATTTAAATTCCGTTGTCCTTCAATTTGAAACTACACACTATAGCTCTCCCTAAAATTAAAAAATAAAAATACTATTCAACGTCATGAAAAGGAAAAGTGAAAAATCAAATATGCAAGATTTTCCCATTTCATATGTCATAGATCTTTCTAGAGGACAAAACATGAATGCAATTTGATTTTGCTGTGACAACCAAGAAAACCCGATATTCTTCTTTTAAAAAAAAAGAGACAGTACACTAATTGAAATATTGTTTGTTTCATGATATGTTAGGATTAGCAAAATCACCTAGTAATTAGTACAATGATTTTTACGTTTCATATTACAAAATTACACAGTGATCATTACAATGATTAATTTTTGTTATTTGTGAAATATTTATCTCTATTTTTTTTTAAAACTTGACATTCGTGAAATACAGTTCCTTTTTTTTTTTTTTTTGGCATTTCACATGCAAATTTTGTGCATTTCTTTTTCCGTATCACAATAAGATGATCAAGCTTATGTGCCACTGTCAATATCCCTAACAGCTCAAGATTTTTACATTTTGCTCTTGATTCATAACTTTTTTAATTAAATAATTACACTAATAAAAAAATATTTAATAAGAATAAAGAGTAAAAATCTAAACTCATACACTCTTAAAGATAAATTCTCTATTTTGTTATTTAATTTAATAAAAAGGAAACAGATAGTTGAGGCAATTGGCCAGTCCAAAGTAAAATAAAAAAAGACTTCAAATTTGGTCGTATTCTTCTCTAGCCATGATAGAAACAAAAAGGGCATGTTTTTATGATTTGATCAAAATGCTAGTTAATGCATCAAAAGCATAGACATTGAATCGACTGAATGATCCAAACGAATTACACTAAATTTGAATTCCCAAGAGTTCTTTTGCAACGCCTGGACATGCATTAAAGCTTCAACACGATTTAAGTTTAGTATGGCCACTATATGCATTGAGCAGTCCGAGTTTGACAGAGAACCACAGAGATGATCTTTTGTCATATTTACACTGTATAGGAAACTTATATGTTTTGCATCAATCCTAGAGGGCATGTGGGAGGTTCAAGTGTTTGTCTCCAACATCCTCCGCACCGTTGCTGCAGAAAAATAAAAAAAAAAGTGTCAACAATGCTGAGAGGATAAAGAGCAATAATGGCTGCCACAGCGCGTAGATAAGTAGATGAATACCCTAGGTAGCTCAAAGCCGACATTCTGTAGAGGCAGGTGAAAACTAGTACGTGCAACCCGATGGTGTAGAAAAATGCAAAAGTTCTAGCATACCTGCAAGGATAAAACAAAACTAAATTTATATAGACTCTAGAAAATTAACTTGTACAATGATAGAGGACATTAAAAAGAAAAATATTGGGAAAAATTAAGAACACGAAAAAGCATCTGATGTAAAGAAAACGACAGACTAAATCAATGCAATGGATTTACAAATGGACATGAGACGTTTATTTTCCTGCAGGACGAGGGCCATGGCCCATGGTCTTGAAACTTAAGTAGGTAGGTCAAATTTGTTAAGAGGTCTCATGAAAAGGGGGATAGTTGTGATTGAGGATGCCTTATCGTAGATGTAGATAATTCATGGAATGAATAACGGAGCAAATAATTTATTCAGCACATTCTGAGCCATCATAACAAAAAAGTACATCTTACTTGTTTCCCAGAAGAAACCGTCCACTGCTAAGTGTGATTCTATCCCTGAAACCCAACTCCTTGTACCTTTGATCCCTTTCCTAAGAACAAGAAGTTAAAGTATTCTCTCTTACGCAACATTAAAAAAGGTAAAGGCTAAGAACGCATAGTTCAATATCACAAGCTTTCCAAATTCGCCGAAGGAAAAGAATAAACCTTTTTGGAGAAAGCTGCAAATGGATTTATGTCATCCTCGTAGATCTTCTTGTACTTTGATTCAACATCTGAGGTGAAACCACTTTCAAGATCCTCCACATGCTGAATACCAAACAAGAAAAGAGGGGGGAACAAAAGACGTAGCTTAAATAAAAATCACTAGCTGTAATTTAAAAGATAATATAAAGAAAAATACCTTCTTTGATCCTCTAGAAACTACTTTCTCAAGATTGTAGTCCTGAACGTAACGAATCTTTCCATAAAGTTTGACATTATCAGCTTTTGTCTTTTCCAGTTCAGCTGTCAGCTCCCCAATCTTCTCCTTCAACCTTCTTGTTTCCTAGTGCATTAGAATTAAGAAATGTTACAATAGTGAACCTTGATATCAAATTCGGCAAAAGTTCAAAAAAAAAACAAAAAAACAAAAACGAAAGTGATGTTTTCCGTAACATTAAGCAAGCGGAAAAAATTCTAACCATTTTGGAAGACATACCTCCTCTGTCTCTCGCAACCGTGCCCTAAATCGATCTCGCTGATTACAAATAACCTTAAGCATGGAGCTTTGGTCTTGATCTGATGGAACGTGTTTTTGATCTGTGCTCTGATCCAAAAGAGGTATTAGGAACTTGTTAATGAGAAAGGAGAACAATCAAATAAACAAGTATAGTAACCAATTGTGCAAGAACAAGACAATCAGTTAAACTATAACCTTAAACAGAACGTTCCTAAAACCTATGTACAATTACCAAATAAATACTTTGCCATTTGGAGGAGTAAATTGTCATGACATTCAGCATCAATCAGATGTTTGTTAGTGTCAATGCTTATTCTTATTACTAAAAGCTAGGGATTAAACATGGCAAAAGACTCTGAAAGGAAATATACCTCAGATAGCTCACTGCCCCTTGCCTCTGAAAGATCCCAATCTTCAAAAAGAGTGCTCTTTTGATCTTTGGAGTTATAACCCTGCATCAGAGGTGTGGAAGAATGTGTTTTACACGTGTATAGACTAAATTAGGAAAGTTTGAATATAATAGTTAGTTTCCTATTTTAGTGTGATATCCCACATGTTATGGGATGTGATTGCCGTTTCTATAGGCTAGGGGTTCTGTCGAGAGGGATTTTAGGCTGTTAATCAATTATGAAAATTAGTTTTAACAATTCCTGATTTTCAGGGATTGTGGTAGATATCCTTTCCTATTTTCTCTCTATGTAAACTCTATAAATACTTAGCCATGTAATTATTCAATATACGAAATATTAACAGATAATTTTTCATCCCTAGTTTGCGTCATGGTATCAGAGCCCTAGGACGACTCTCTGGGATTTCACGCCGCCGCCAAGCAGCCTTTATTGCTGCCGTTCATCCACGCCGCCAAGCAGCCTTCATTGCTGCCGGTCATCACAGCATCATTCTATTTTTTTTTTCCTCTTCTTTCCTATCTTTGAAATCTGCTTGAGCAGCCTTCATTGCTGCTTTTCTTCCCCTTTATTCAATCATGTCCGATTCTGAACCCAAGACCACCAGCCCTTCCTTGACTACTGAGGATGTTTCTCCTACCCAGAAAACCGGAGACTTGCAGAATATTAGAGCCTCTTATCGACTCAATGGGAGGAACTATCTCAAGTGGTCACAAGTCGTTCGCACATACCTCAAAGGAAAGGGAAAAAATAGCCACCTGCTTGGGATTGGACCAGCAAAAACAAACCCCGGATTTGTGGCATGGGATGAGGAGGATTCAATGATTATGTCATGGCTGTGGGATTCAATGGAACCATCCATTAGTGATACTTGTATGTTTCTGACTAGTGCGAAGGGGATATGGGATTACATTCAACGTACCTATTCAAAGGCACATGATGCAGCCCAGGTGTATGAGATAAAGATCAAGACAAATGGAATGAAGTAAGGAGACAAGACTGTCACAGAGTATGCCAATTTTCTGCGGATCATGTGGCAGGAATTGGATCACTATCGAGTGTTCGAGATGAAATGCCCGGAGGATGCAGCAATTCTCAAGAAATATATTGAAGGTGACAGAGTGTGACTTCTTGGCTGGATTGAATTCCGAATTTGATCAAGTTCGGTTACAAATACTCAGTAAGGAGGAGGTTCCTTCACTGGAAGAGACCATCTCAATTATTCGTGGAGAGGAGAGCCGAAGGAATGTGATGCTAGAAAAACCAGGTGGTATGGAAGGGTCTGCTCTGGTGACTAAATTGGAACATCAGGAGAAGAATAAGGATGACCAGCCAAGGAATTCAGGAAGGGAGAACCAGAGAAGGGAAAATCGAGATACTTTGTGGTGCACCTACTGCAAGAAGTCGAGGCATACCAAGGAAAATTGCTAGAAGTTGAATGGCAAACCTCCAAGGCTGAAGAAGGACCGGACAACAAGGGATTCAAGGGAGATGAGATAGGGTTCAAAAGGGATGAGATTGAAAAATTACGGAGTCTATTGAGTTCTCTTGAAAAACCATCTGGAGCTAGTTCCTTAGTTCTCTCAGGTAAACCAGTGATTTCTTATGGATTGCACACTTCTGACAAGTTTTTTGATGATTCTTGGATATTAGATTCCGGAGCCACGGACCACATGACACATTCCTCACATTTTATCCGTACATATACTCCTTGTCCGAGTAATAGGAAGATTATTGTTGCAAATGGAGAATTAGCTACAGTGGCAGGTTTATGAGACGTTTATATTAATCCCTCTGTGGTCCTTAAAAATGTCTTGCAAGTGCCGAAGTTATCAGCTAATCTTATTTCCATTCAAAAACTTACAACTGATCTTAAGTGTTGTGCAATATTTTTCTTGTCTCATTGTGTTCTTCAGGATCAGGCCTCGGGGAGGAAGATTGGACTTGCTAAGGAAATAAATGGTCTCTACCACCTGGAAATTTCAAGGAAAACCGCCAGTAACTTGCATGCGTCTCTTCTCAGTTCTTCCAATAAAGATGCCATTTGGCTTCACCATTATCGTCTTGGTCACCCGTCCTTTAGAGTCCTATAAATTATGTTTCCACAATTGTTCATAGGATTTGATATTTCTAAGTTCCATTGCGATGTTTGTGAACTAGCAAAACATACTCGTGTTTCTTTCC